GGCTTTTGGAATCTCTGGGTGGGAGGGGCGGAAGTGATCCCCTCGAGGAGGGCTTCGATTGCTGGGCTCATGGCTTTGCCCATCAAGTGAGCCTCTGCAAGGGCAGTGAGTTCCGCTTCTGCTGTGGAGGTGGGCACAAGCGGTTGCCGGCACTGGCCCCACATTACAAGTGCTCCCCCCCAGTACACATGGGCGGACTGCATTCCTTTACAGCCTTCCTCAAAGACAGTCAGCTCCATAGCTGGCATCTGAGTACACTTCGATGCTGCTAGCATCCCGCCTGTATTTCAGCTGAGCCCACTGACCGAAGTCGTCAGGAGCCGGGCCATAGTGGAGGCCAACGGAAGGGGCATAACGAAGATACTTGACTATGCAGTTGCAGCGTAACCGCTTCAGCGGGGTTGGAGGCCAGGCCTTGGTCACAGCAAACACCAAGTCAGGCCTTGTCCTGCCGGACAGCCAAAGAAGGGCCTGCTTTGCGAGGGCCTCCCGCTCCTCGGCAGGAGTCTCAGGCACAGAGAACTCCTTGGGAATGGGGACGCGGCACTCCCCTTCAACAGCTTCCCATTTGGCAAGAAGCTCTTTGCAGTAGCCTTCCTGGTGAACCTTGTATAACCTGTGGGGGTCTTAGTAAGCTCAAAACCATTAAAGGCGAAGCTATCCCCATTTTGGAACAACCACTCCGCCTTGGAGGTGCTCCACACAGTTTGAAGGGCTGCAGCAACCTGCCTTGCCTGGGCTTCAGGACCTGCTATGAGGATGTCGTTACGTGAGAACCTTGCGGGTGGCAGCATCGCGGACGGACCAAACATTGGCGTCCTCCTCAAGGGGTGTGCACTGAACTTTTGCGCCATCAGGCAGGCAGGTGAGGTTGCTAAGGGTAGCGTTGTGGTGGAGGGTCCAGGAGCGAGGTGCAACGTCTAGTCCGCACAGCGCTTTGTTCACGCGCCAGTACTTTTCTTGACAGACCCCCGCAGCCCTAAGTATGGCCGGAACCCTGACGATGATAGTAGTATCGTTCGGTGTCACCACAGGCGCGTTCAAGAAGGCTGTCTTGACGCCCACGCTTCCCAGGATCCACTCGCTGTCGAGGGCGGCGCGCCTTACGAGGAGCCTGATGCTTTCACATGGGGCTCCTGACGCATAGACATCTGTTTTCTCACGTGGTAGATGTCTGGAAGTTGCCACACCCGACAACGCGTGTCTTGAACCTCCCTGAAAAAGCCTTCTGCGTGAACACAGCCTTGCCAGGAATGAGTTCTACGTTGCCGCCCTGGGCCGACACCAGCTGCGTGAACTCCGGGTCGGAGAGCGGCGAGACGGCTTGGGTTGAGACGACAAGCGAATCATATTCCTCGTGCGTGGAAGGTGTCCACTTGGCCAAGTTTTGCTGAACGATCTCCGTCTTGGTTTGGAGAGGGGCCTCTCCATTTTCTCCCAGGTCCCCTGGAGACAGAGCACAAATCCGCTCATCCAGTTCGAGGAGCTTATCCTTGCTGGCAACACGGCAAATTTAACCCTATGCTTCTGCTCAAACCTGAGCAACACACTGGCCTGCGCCTCAAGGTCTTCAACCTGTTGCTGGCACTCCTCGATCAGCGCCGCGCATGGTTCGCCTTCGGACCCTGGCTCAACTGCAAGGAGGCTAAGAAGAGCCAGGCGCTGACGGCTGATTGAGAGGCTTGCGGCACGCAGGTCACAGTGCATAGGGAAGGAGCAGGACTCCAGCACAAACTGGGTGATCTCGGGCTCGTTTGAGGTTGGCTGCAAAGCACTCAGCATCTCAGGCACCAGATAGCGGCAGTTTTCCCACTCTGAGTTACTGTCGTACCACGAATCCAATGCGTCACCTTGAGGAGGCAGGCTCTCGCCGCTGGGTGAGCGAGATAGGGGAAAGACGGCAGGGCCAGACACAGCATTAGGTTGAGGAGATGGCATGGCTCCCCCAATGCTAGGTTCAGAGGCTTGGACTTCGACGCTCGTGGCAACCTCACTGTTTAAATGCCTGACTTCGACGCTCGTGGCAACCTCTAAATTAAAACCTGGGACCTCTGCGTCAGCTGCTGCTGGACTGCTGCGTCCTAAAACAACATCCTGAGGGGCTACTATTCCCTCAAGATGCCACAGTCCACACACATCACAAGGGCCATTGCCGGCCTGCAAAGGCTCCTCACACATCAAACAAACCCTAGACGGTCTTGAGGTCTACCTAGAACCTTAACTAGGGGTGAATGCTCCTCAAGAGCGGGAGACCTCTGCGTGCGCTGCTGCTGCGAGACTGCTGGGTCCTCGGATGGCCGCCAGACGGGGCCGAACACTGCGATCAATCCCTGACAGACAAGGAGGCTGGTTCTGTTGACTCAGAACCTTCTGCGGCAGGATCTGCTGCTGGGTATGAGGCTCCTTCCTCCCCAGCGTTGCTCGGGGCGCTTTCCTCCCCCGGTGGGTTTGAAGCTTCTCCTTCCTCAGGCGCCGCCTCATCATCACTTGCAAGGTTGGGATAGTTCGGGTGCGGAGCATGTAGGGTTGAAGACTTGATTGCCTGACAGACAAACCAGGAATCCACCTCGACCAACCCGGGTGGAGCTGGCAGAGAGCTTCCGCGCACAGCTCCTCGAGGCTTATATTTTGGAGCAGAGCGCGGACACTTTCAAAATATGCCACCGAGGATCTGAACCTGCAAGGCAGGTACCCTGACATCCCTACACCAGGGATGGATGGTCCGCCCATCGAGGGACAGCTTGTCCTGTACAGGGGCGAAGACCTGCAAGATGGGGAGGAACTCGGCGCAGGGGCGTTCACCTCAGAAAGCTCTGAAGAAGCTGACACTTCTACCGCGTCTCCCTATGAGGGAATGCCTGTCACTCCAAGCTCCTCAGCCCCTAGCCCTAGTGTGCGCAGCATCACCACAGCTGGAGGAGCGGCACTCGCAGCAGCCACCCTTCCTACAGCTGATGCTATGTGGGAGGTCGCCCTCACACCTTCCGAGATCTTCACTCCTGTTTGGACGGCTGTGCTTAGTTGGGAGATCATACTTCTTTGTCTGTTGATAGGGGGTACTTTAGGTGCCTTGTGTATGTGCCTAGGGTGGTGTTGCTACCAGGCATGGCGATCCCGGGCCAGGCAACCTGCAGACCGGACTCCCCGTGCGTGTGGCCCGGCCGCAGGGCCTACCTCACTCGCATGTTGGGCCGGAGCAAACCCATGTGCAAGAGCCAGCTGGCTCCTCCACAATGCCCCGGGCTCAAACCCCTGACCTCAGGAGACGCCGCCCGATCTCCGAAACTTCACCCTCTACATCTAGGGTTGAAAGAGGGACAAGTCCCATTAGTGTTAGGGTTCCTCATAGTCCTCAA